CTATTCTATTCTATTCTATTCTATTCTATTCTATTCTATTCTATTCTTTCTATTCTATTCTGTAATGCCCATTCTCTTCTTACCTGTTTCTCAGGATAGTGGTATTAAACTACATACCTCTGAACAATCCCATCCATTACCCAGATGCTAGCTGCTTTAATTTGCTCAGTAGTCACCGCATGCTGTCGTTCAGTTCAACCAGCATGGCATGCAAGACTGCCTAGAGTAGTACTTTAAGATCATGAGATTTCTCTCTTTAACCATTAGATTATAGAGTCTGTATGTGTTGGGGGTGGGAAAGAGTGTATATTTGTATAGGTGCATGTGTGTGTTAGTGCTTGTGCACATGTGTAGAAGCAGAGGTCAGTCTTGAATGTAAGTCTTTTTGTACTTTGCTTTTTGAGACAAGTCTCCTCTTGGCCTGGTGGAGCTCACTGAATAGGCTCCTGGCTGACCAGCAAATCCCCGGGATCCAATTGTTTCTGCCTTGTCATCCCTGGGATTGCAGATGTGAGCCACTGGGCCTAGTCTTTTTTTCTTTTTAATGTAGGTTCTTTATGTTGGACCCACATCCTAATGTTTATATAACTAGCAGTTGATGGACTGACCCATCTCTCCAGCCATGCTCCTGGTCACCTAGTTCCCTGTAGCCTATTATTAGGCTCATGGGGGCTTAGTTAAAAGTGTAGTTCTTTCCACCTTTAACTATCAATCTAGGCTCCCTTTGCCCGAGGAACTGTTCTGAAAACATTATCACAGTAACAGGCCAGGACTTTGTAGCTATTGTGCATCACCAGCGCTTGGTACCCATTACTGAGTAACTGTGGCTTTTCTTCCAGCTAAAGAAAGGGTTCTAAGTAACTTACGGAAGCATGAGGCTCCCCATCCTCCTCTTGTTCTGCACCCTGTGAGTCCTCCTGTGCCTCTCATCTCCTCAGCTGTGCTGCTGAGTCAGAAGGATACCACCCAGCTGATGTGCACAGACCTGAGCCTGTTGCAGCAGCACGCCAGGTAAGACCAGGAGGCCTTGAGGATTCTACTTCCTGCTTGCTGCTTTGTCAGCTGATGATTTAGTATTTGGGTTGCCTCCCTTGTCAGCCTCCTCACACTGCACCAGTCCCCTAGTCCAGGTGGCTTACTCAGCTGAGTAGTGACAAGCTTTTTTTTTTTTTTAATTTCATGTCTGTGTGTGCTTCAGTGTGTGGGAATGGGCATATGAGCACAAGCGTGCATGAAGGCCAGAGGTGTTGGGTCCCCTGCAGCCACAGCTAGAGGCAGTTGTGAGCCACCTGGAATGGGTGCTGGGAATTGAACTTGGGTGCTATGGAAATACGATACATGCTCTTACTGAGCCATCGCTCCAGTCCCTGTGACAGTTTTTAATTCCATATTATGTGGTACTCTTATACTGTTAGTCACGTGTGTTTCTGAGGTCAGTTGTTCTGGGTGAGACATTTTATCATTTCAGAAAACTGATACTGGAAAGATGGTATTAGAAGTTTACGTTCTTGTATCTTTGCTTTGCTCTCCACCCTCTGTGTTTAGAAAATTGACATACGTCAGTGGTCAAGGGGTAGAGAAGTCATTTGTTTGGAGTTTACATTCAGAATCATCACCCGTTTAAGGTTTGGTTCTCACTCGCATTCTTGAGGAATATATATGGGCAAGACTCTTTAATTAACAACAAACAAGCTTAGTTTTACAAATCCCCTGTGAATCATTTCTTTTATTGACAATTTTTCTTTGGATACATTTGATTCAGGCATTTGATGCTTGTATGTTATATGCATACAAGAGTATTTGTCTGCTAATATATTATTGACATGCTATATACCACCCCATCATGGTAGTGGGGTATGAACCAGAAGTTGTAGAAGGTTGTGAGCTGCTATGTAGATGCTGGGTACTGATGCTGATCCTCTAGAAGACCAGCCGGTACTCTGGAGTGCTGAGCCATCTCTCCACTCCCAACCCCTTGATCACTGTTTATATAACCTTTCTGGACTTTGTTTCCCACACTGGGTTGCTTTTCAGGACGGCAGCTCTCCGGGAGTCTCAGCAGGTTGCCCTGGATGGTGAGCTGTTGGAGACGATGCCCAAACAATATGTTAACCGAGAAGAGCAGGCCACCCTGCATTTGGAGTGCAAAGGCAGTGGTGGTAAGAAGTGCCAAGGAGCCGCAGTTGTAACAGTTCGGGTGAGATTGTTAATTTCTTCATAATTTAGAGAATTTTAATTGAGTCCCTTACATTGGCATTTTGATGAGAAAGATCCAAAGAAGGAGAACATGTGTCCTGTGTCCCAAAACAGTTTTAGAGTTTTAGGGAGAATGAAGATACACAGAGAGCAAAATAAGTTGTCCTCAATTTCCCACAGCTAACAGGAAACTTATTTTTGTGCAAATGTAGCTCCAGAGCACATTCTATGACAGGTGTGACTTGGAAGAAGATACTCAGTGAGGAATTCCAAAAAGAGGAAAGTCATTTGGAAGGTTCCCAGATGCTTCAGTTTGTTCCTCCTAAGATTTTGATGCTCATATTTTGGGTACTGTTAGAAGAAATAATGGAATGGATTTCTGTGTTGCTATCTAGGCCCAGCGCTAGGTCAGTCAGTTTCAGGTGTTCTGGGAACAGTGGTCAGGGTTCACATGGGGAATGTTGTACAAGCGACCACAGGGCTGATGCTGGTGGTGTGGGCAGCAGGTGGCTACTGAGGACAAGTGTGGGAAGTGGGGCTTGCCAATAGGTAAATGAGATGTGTTGTAATCTGTCTAAAAAATTCATCTTGTTGCACCAATTATAGACAGAAGTTTGTTCTGAGATACTGTTAGTTCAGAATGGAAACTGGGCCTAAGCTAGTCTGTGCAGCACTTCTTCACACCAGACTCTGTCTAAACATTTCCTATAGCTTACTTTATTATCTTTATTTTCCATATAGTGGGGTGTATCTTTCCCCTCTGCAGATGCACTCAACAGTAATACCTGGAGAAGGGACTTTTAGAAATGGGCAGGTCTGCTGCCTAATTACATTTACATAACAATACTTTTGTTAGCTTTGAAAAATTGAGTCATTTATTTGCTCCTTCTTGATTGCCCTTCCCCATGCCTTTCTTTTCAAATCCACATTTCATTGGACCAGTTTCTTCTCTATTGCTTTCATCTAAAATATCTTTTCTAAAATAACCTGTTAGACTTCTGTATTTTCCAATCCTTTGAAGTTTATTTCAGATTTTTTTGTTCTTATTGGATGCACCTAATGTTAAAGGATTAACTTGTAAGTCAAGATAACTTCAGCTTATGTTCTCATGTTGTTTTGAAACATGCCAGATGCCAAAACGTCTAACAAAAGTTAGTTTTCTTTCAGGAATTTCCCCTTAGTTTCCAGTGCTGTAGAACTGGGTAGAGGTATTTACCTTTCGGTAAATTGGCTGAAGTTGTGAGGCTGGAGAAAAGTCATTAGCCTAGGGTGGAGTTAGACAGGATAGGAAGAAGATGGGCTGTAGCTGGTCATAATAATGGGAGATATTTTATTTTTAAGCTCGGGGTTTTGTTTGTTTTTATTTTTTGAGACAGGGTATATAATTGTGTAACTCTGGCTGTGCTGGAATTTGCTCTATAGTCCAGGCTGGCCTCAGACTCACAGAGATCCATCTGCTTCTGCCTCCTGAGTGCTTGGATGAAAGGAACAGGTCTCTTGCTCTGGCCTGTGAACTCCCAGGGTCTGGCAGTGGATAATAGCACCAGGAAGAGCAGGATTAGCCTGAGCCAACAGTGACTTGACTCTTTCTTTCCAGAAAATGAGATCATAGTTTTTTATATCTGAACCCCTGAATTGGAATTTCTTTTGTAACTTTGTGTTTAATAAATTTTGAGATGAAAAGGAATCCCTTCTAAAAATACCATCAAAGTAACTTTCCACTGCAGGGAAGTCAGCAAGATGATAGATGACGTTCATAGATTTGCCAATGTCCTTGTGCTAATATTTTAATAAAAGAGGGCCAGAGAGTTCACTAGAATAAAGAAAGGTGGGGAATGAAGGCAACGGCGTTCAGAGGAGGCCAGGTGCAGTGGCACATGTCTATAACCCCAGTGTTGGAGAGGCTGAGGCAGGAGCATGGAGGGTTTGAGGCCAACCTGAGCTGTGTAACAAGAACTTGTTTCAGGAGAGAAGAAAAGAGGGGAGGTTGTGGGGAAAACACATACAAGAAAAGTAAAAGGGCAGAGGTGTCTTAAGGATTCGGGAAAGTTGGTGTCTGTGGCCGTACCTTCATTAGAAACACTCTCACTTTCTGAGAGCACATTCTAGTTTCCTGCTGCTCACACACTCGTGCCCTGCCTGTAGTTCACTTTGGGAAACCCAGAAGCGGAGAATTTCCCTTCAGGTCTCCTGTGTCACTGTTGTCTCCAGTCTCAAATTTGCTTGATAATGCAGATGTGCCAGGGGAATTAAAGTATGCACATAGTAAGCAACTCTGTAATCTGAAACTTGAAAATAATTTATTTTGATAGTTATATAACCATTCCTAATTGTCTCTGTCTAGTACTTGCTGGCTGATCTTTTTAGGAATTGAAGATAAAATTATTTTTCTTGTGTACTCATTGGCAGCTAAGAGCAAGACAGAATAAAATGGAAGCCCACAGCGGTGCTGTTTGGGTGTATTGATGAGGCTAGCCAATGAAGTCTACCTGCCCACCTCTAGATAACTTAACAGGTCCCACACTGATTTCGTTTTACCCCCCAAACCTGTTCTTCCTGCAGTCCCTCCTACTTGGTCTCCAAGATGAAAGCCGAGTCTGGTTGTCGTTTCTTCCCCGTACCACACACCACCCTTCCTGTCTTGTTCCTTTCCAGATATATTGGTTTGGCCTGTGGAACCAATTTACAGTGACTTCCTTCCTCTTTGTTTTTCTTATTGCTGCCTCCCCGTAGCCTACCACATGTCCCTCCGAGCTACCGCGAGCCTCCTGCCTACAGCATTCTTTCACCATTCAGCCCTCTAGTCTCAGTTGTGGCCTCATCTCCAGGCTTGAAGCCCGCAGTGACTCTCCAGTGTCTAACAGCCCTCCATAGCCTGCTTCTGAAGTTTTCGCAGGGAAGGATTCTGTCTGAAAATTCTCGACCACTTCTCAAGCAATCTGTTTTTTAGCCACTTAGACTTCATGCACTCCCTGGTATACATGTGGTCACACTGTCCCCGTGGTACTGCTGCCTCTGTTCACGTTCCTTTTTAGTCTCCACACTTACTGTGGCAAGTTGTATTTTCTCGTCAGACTTCCTTGGCCGCTTGTACTTGATGTCTTGTAGACACTTGTCCTTTTTCCTCACCAGACAGAATTCTACAGGAACAGTTTTCCTTTCTCATGTAGATGTCATCTGTCCAGGTCGTCTAGGGCACCTTCCAGTGCATGGTAGATACCTGGAATACATCAGCAAAAGCCACTGGCTTACTCTTGTCAGGGTTGTGCTGGTGATGCTGTGTGTTGTCATTTATTTCATGACTGTTAGTAGGTTTTGGCTCACATGAGATCAGGGCAGTCTTATTTGTGTTTGTATCATCAGTGTTTCGTAGTCATGGGCGTGTTTGTAGGAAGCTGTAGGTTTATCGCCTTCGCGGTATATTCATTCTTTAGCCGTTTGCAGGAACTTTGTGGATAATATTTGACTGTGAACGATATGGACATCAAAACCTTTTTCTAGTAAGTTGTAGTCATTCTTTCTTCTTATTGCTAAGGGCACAAACATCAGCTGGCCCTTGCATTTGAATACAGGTTTCTCCCTGGTGTTCATTCCTGACAAGCAGAGGAGATGTTGCACTGTGACACCACTGCCTTTTCCAACCTGTTAGAGTCCTTCCTGTCCCTTATATACACTGGAATTCTCTGAGGTGCTTTGCTCACAGTATCTCTCTTAACTTTTACAGAATAGAATGTGCTATTAGACTTTCTAGGTATCATGGCTACATCATCCAGTTAGCAATCAACATCCATCCATCTATTAGAAGTCAGTTTTCAGTGTTGTTTTATTTTATCTTAATGTTGTTGAGGATTGAACCCAGAGCCTTCTACATAGGCAAGTGCTTTCTCACTGAGATACACCCCAGTCCTCATACCCCTCATTCACGACCTGTACTTTCACATTCGGTGTGGCCAGGCCACCCAGTTCGTCTTAACAGCTTCAGCTCCATCTTGAAGATGAGCAGTGTGTTCCAAGGGAGCGGACACTGCAGTAAGACCTCATTTTAAACAAACACAGACATTGCTTTCTTTCTGAGTCTGAGTCATTATGGAACCCATGATCTTAATTGAGCATTTCGTTCCGGATCAGCTTCTAGACATTAGTTTCATGGAAAATCATTTTATAGTCAGTTTTACAAATATAATTTTTAATGGTTCATCTATAAAGATTTCATATTACTCCATTTTCTGGATATTTCCAGCTGTCTGCAAGTCTTTGAAGTTGTATAAAGTATTGTATTGAAGTTGTATAAATGGAGTATTCAGAAGCTGAGTGTGTTTTATGAGAAGTGAGACGTGTTTCCCCTGTGGTCTCCAGTCCCAGCGGCGGCCTTTCATCGCTCAGCGCTGGTCCCTGAGGAAACGGAGTGATTTATGAATGGGCTTTTTTTTGTTGTAGTTGGTATTGTGGGGCATATGTGCTAAACTCAGGATTGATTTATTCTCAAGTGAACAATTTTTCCATTTCTAGAAATAAAAGGTGGAAAAGACCCACCGAGGGCCTCCCATTTTGTAAAACCTTGTGAAAGGACATGCTTTGTCCAGCCTTTTCTTTGTCTTCTTAAAGTGACTCAAATGGAGGACTCCACACGCTGCTTTGATCTGTTTTCTCCAGCTTCTTGGTTAGGAGCTGGAGTCTTCCAGTCCTTCTCCTCTCTATTAGTAAGAAAAGCAGTCTTTCAGTGGGGTGGGAAAGTGTGAAGACGTGCCACATTGCTGAGTTCGATATAACCAAGTTACTGTGATAGTAAAACACCATGTGTGCTCAGAGATGCCTGTGTGCTCAGGTACAACCATTGCCCCTTAAGACTTTAAGCGTAGCATGTATGAGGGCCTCATCTAAATAAGTTGATAAATTATATTTTCATTATTTACATGGGTTACAATCATTGCTGTGGTAGCTGAAGACTGCTTCTGGGTAGGGCATGTAGATGAGTGGGGAAACAGAGAATGAAGGATTTAAAACCCTGCCTTCCAAATCTTCTGCTCCTTTCCGCATTCTCTGCTGCACTTACAGGACAAGGTCACCCTTCACAGTGGCCTGTCCATTAGGGCCCCTCCAGATCATCGCCCTTACTCCCTGTTCTGGCTGGACTGTACTCTTCTGTCGCAACTCCTGAGACTTTTCCCTTCCGGTCACCTGTCCCTCCTTAACCAACAGCTGCCATAACGTGTGTGTGTGTGTGTGTGTGTGTGTGTGTGTGTGTGTGTGTGTGTGTGTG